GGCGGCGCTGCACACCTGGCGGCCCTGCACACCTGGCGGCGCTGCACACCTGGCGGCGCTGCACGCCTGTCTCAACTCAATCTATTCTAAAACCTGACGATGATGTTTTCACAAGCACCGAAAGTTTTAGGCCTAAAACCATTGAAGTGGCACCACTGTAAAATAATGGAGAACTATAATTTCTTAGGCTTCGACAATTTTTTAAAATGTTCTTGTTTAAAATTGACTTTTAAATGCATTAATGGTTTTGTCCCAGAGCTGGTGAGCAGAATGATTTTAAACTTCAGCACCTCAGGATTTACAACAAGAGGTGCAGTTGATGAGACTGCAAACCTGCAAAATACAAACCATCATTTGGTCAATGTTCTTCTCAGTCAAAGGTCCTCATCTCTGGACCAGTTCACCATGAGCAATAAAAACATTAACAGATCTTAGAGTTTTGAATTCCCAGGTGAAAAAATGGTTGAAACAAAACCAAATCTGTGAACACTGAGCCCCATGGGTGTGAGGGAACTGTTTAATTTTAATTAAATTTTAATAAAATTTTTATTTTATTTTAGCTGTTTATATATAAAAGTCCAACCACGGACTGTGTTTGCAAATTAGCCTGTGGCTAGAAAACCTTTGTACAAAACAACGGTTGCTTCATTTTGAACATGTAACATTGTTTAATTCAATCCATCCACCCATTATCTTTACCCGCTTATTCCATTTTGGGTCACGGGGGTCGCCGGTGCCCATGTCCAGCAATCACTGTGCGAGGGGCGGGGGACACCCTGGACAGGTCTCCAGTCCATCACAGGGACACATAGAGACAAACGAGACAAACAACCATTCACTCTCTCACTCACACCTAGGGACAATTTAGAGTTACCAATCAGCCTAACATGCATGTTTTTGGTCTGTGGGAGGAAACTGGAGTACACGGAGAAAACCCACTCATGCACGGAGAGAACATGCAAACTCCACCCAGAAAGGCCCCTGGACCGGGGTTTGAACCAGGGACCTGCTCGCTGAGAGGCAGCAGCTCTACCAGCTGCACCACCGTGCTGCTAATTCAATTCAATTCAGTTTATTTATAAAGCGCCAAATCACAACAAAGTTGTCTCAGGGACTTTACAGGAACATTCACATAAAAGCCAATTAGTAAAGTTCTCTATCTAAAGAAATGTGCTGTCCTTGTTCCAATAAACTTGAATGAACGAACGAACGAACGAACGAACATGAGCTCATGTGAACATCTGAATCGGTTTTTCAGGGAATCCAGCAGGACATTCAGTCCAGACTGGCCATCAGTGACTTCCTCATCAAACCCATCCAGAGAATCACCAAATACCAGCTGCTGATGAAGGTGAGTGAAGCTTCACGTCTGTTCCATTTGGTTTACGTTGCTCTGAGTGATGCTGGTCCTCACATGGAACTGTGTCTCCCTGCAGGACTTCCTGAAGTTCAGTTTGAAGGCAGGACTGGACTGTGAACAAATCGAGGTAAAAACTGATGAAGTTTTTTCCCAGAGGTGAAGGTTCAGTCGGTGACTCTAAACGGCACTTCTTCAGCTCAGCCCCATCACATCAGAGTGAAAGAAGGACGAGCAGCGAGATCAACGCAGCGGGTTTTCAAATTCACCGCCACGCCGTTAGCAAAACTGCGTTCAAGCTAATCGGCCCCGATGTTTGATTTCTTCTGCCGGGGGGCCCTTTGAAACGATGTCAGGCAGATTTGGTTCTTTACCGTCTGTGGGTGTCTAGACGTGGACGTGTGGGATGTTTCCTGTCAGAGGGACAGAGGCACGCAGGCGTCTCTTCGGCTGTTTTACTCAAATATTGTGAACGTTTAAAAGTCAAGCACCAAGACCTCATGCCTCTGCAGCAACATTCCTGGCGAAGGCGGATCTCGACCTGCTGGTCCGGTCTCATGCTCGGTTGATGGTTCTGACAGGATCTTTGTTGTCTCCGGACTCTTTCAGAAAGCCGTGGAGTTCATGTCCGAGGTTCCCAAGCTGTGCAACGACATGATGAATCTGGGTCGGCTGCAGGGCTACGAGGTACGTCCACGCTGCAGCGCCGCTCTCGGCTGGTTCTGTCCACTGACCGGTCCGATCTCTGCCTCTGCAGGGCAAGCTGACCAATCAGGGCAAGCTGCTGCAGCAGGAGACCTTCTTCGTGTCGGAGCAGGACGCCGGGGTCCTGTCACGCTCCAAAGAAAGGAGAGTCTTCCTCTTCGAGCAGATCGTCATCTTCAGCGAGCTGCTCAGGAAAGGCTCGTCCACGCCGGGGTACCAGTTCAAGAAGAGCATCAAGGTGCGCCGAGGACACTGTCACAGGGGGACATGGGCACACCGGGACACAACTGGCTCATCTAGATCAGGACAGTCCTGATGTCCTGGCAGTAATCTGTAAATTCCTCACCTGCAGGTGTCCAACCTGGGTCTGGAGGAAACTGTGGACAATGACCCCTGTAAGTTTGTCCTGATGTGCCGTGGCTCAGCGGAGCGCTTCACCCTGCAGGCCGCCAACGTGGACATCAAGCAGGTCTGGGTCCAACACATCCAGAACATCCTGGACGCTCAGAACAACTTCCTGTCAGGTGAGCGCGCACATCGTGGAGTGTTGTGTACACCTTTCATCACCCCAGCTCTAACGTCAAGGTTAAAGCAAGGTCATTGCTTGGCAGTCCCATTTGATATTGAATGTTTTCTTTAGAATATTTGATCAATAGTTTATGATCATAAGCACCATCAGCATCACCTGACGTTAACGACGCATAAGACAAAACTTAAATAAAATCCTCCTCCAGGCCTGGCTGCTTCCTCCTCAAACATTACAATGGTTCTTCAGCCACACATGACCTCCTGACCTCTCATCACAGCAGTTTCACCTTTGACCTGACCGCTCATTGCAGAGGTTTGACCTTTGACCTGACCTCTCACCGCAGCTGTTTGACCTTTGACCTGGCCTCTCATCACATCAGTTTGACCTTTGACCTCTGTTTGACCTCTTTGAACAGCTGTTGAGACCCGTGTGTGTGTGTGTGTGTGTGTGTGTGTGTGTGTGTGTGTGTGTGTGTGTGTGTG